AAGTAGCTGGCACTGTAGGCGTGAGCCACCACGCCTGGCCTCTGTTTTCATCTTTTAAAATATTTTTCTTCTTAAAATTAAAAAATGGGCTAGGTGTGGTGGCTCACGCCTATAATCTCAGTACTTCGGGAGGCCAAGGAGGGTGGATCATGAGGTCAGGAATGTGAGACCATCTTGGCCAATGTGGTGAAATCTGTTTCTACTAAAAATACAAAAAAAATTAGCTGGGCTTGGTGGTATAGTCCCAGCTGCGTGGGAGGTTCCGGCAGGAGGATCGCTCGAACCCAGGAGGCGGAGGTTGCAGTGAGCCAAGATGGCACCACTGCACTCCAGTCTGGGCAACAGAGCAAGACTCCATCTCAAAAAATTAAAAAAAATTTTTTTTCTCATGAGTACCTCATGGTTTATATTTTTCATCTTTTTATTTTTTTATATATTTAGAAATGGAGTCTTGCTCAGTCCCCTAAGTAGCTGGGATTGATTACAGGTGCCTGAGACCAGGCCTGGCTAATTTTTGTGGAGATGGGGTTTTGGCATGTTGGCCAGGCTGGTCTTACTCCTAACCTCCGGTGATCCACCTGCATTGGCCTCCCAGAGTGCTGGGATTACAGGCGTGAGCCACTGTACTCAGCATATTTTTATTTTTCGAGACGGAGTCTCACTCTTGCCCAGGCTGGAGTACAGTGACGTGATCTTGGCTCACTGCCGTCTCCACCTCCTGGGTTCAAGCGATTCTCCTGCCTCCACCTCCCGAATAGCTGGGATTACAGGTGTCCACCACCACGCCTGTCTAATTTTTGTATTTTTAGTAGAGACAGGGTTTTACCACGTTTGTCGGGCTGATCTCAAACTCATGACCTCAAGTGATCCTCCTGGCTTGGCTTCCCAAAGTGCTGGGATTATAGGCATAAGCCACTGCACCCAGCCTGTTTTCATTTCTTTAAAATACCTTTTTTTTTTTTTTTTTTTTTTTTTTTTTTTTTTTTTTTTTTGAGACAGGGTCTCTCTAAGTCACCTCGGCTGGAGTGTGGTGGTGTGATCTCTGCTTACTGCAACCTCTGCCTTCTGGGTTTAAGTGATTCTCATGTCTCAGCCTTCCAAAATAGCTGGGATTACAAGTGTCTGCCACCACGCCCAGTTAGTTTTTGTATTTTTCATAGAGATGGGGTTTCGCCACGTTGGCCAGGCTGCTGTCTCATTCGATCTACCCACCTTGGCTTCCCAAAGTGCTGGGATTACAGGTGTGAGCCACCGTACCCAGCCTAAAATTACCGGTTGGGTACGGTGGCTTACACCTGTAATCCCAGCACTTTGGAGGCCGAGCCAGAAGGATCACTTGAGCCTAGGGGTTGGAGACCAGCCTGGGCAGCATAAGGAGACCCCATCTCTACAAAGAAAACTTAAAATTAGCAGGGTGTGGTGGTGTGTGCCTGTAGCCCCAGCTGCTTGGGAGGAGCCTAAGAGCTCAAGACTGCAGTGAGCTGAGGCAGCGCCGCTGTACTGCAGCCCGGGCCGCAGAGTGAGGCCATCTCCAAACATCCCTGCTTTGGCCTTCCTCGGTGGCCTCTCCCCAGCCACATGGCAGCTTGCTGGTGTGCAGGCCCCGGCCGTGGGTATGGCTGCGGATGTCGGACGCGGCCTGGGCGGGATTTGAGGACCGGGGCCTCTGCTGGGTGCTGGGGGGTGTGTGTGCTGAGGCTGCGCCCCGTGCTTCCATGTGAGATTTGAGCATGGAGTTTGGCATGTCTGGGGCTGTCCCGCCTGCGTCCAGCATGAGCAGCTGTCCACGCCAGTCGCAGGGGTGTCCCCACAGAGCCCCAGCCGCGCCCGAGTCCTGGCCCGGCGCTCGCCCTGGCACAGGGTCTCCTGCTGTGTGGAACCCGGGCCTTTGATGGCGTCCACGCGTCCACGTGCTCTGCTGCCTGCCTCCGAGGCTGGCCGAGGCTCTGAGTAACTCGGGAGGCTTGGCCGTGTCCGGCCCACTGATTGAAGCTCAGAGCCTCCAGGGAAATGCTCCATACTCCCTCTCACCGGAGCCCTGGCGGGGCAGACCAGGCCGAGACGGGAGGGAGGGAGGGAGGCCGGGAGGGAAAAACACAAACCCTCAGAGACGCTGGAAACTCTGAGGTCGGGGCCACCTCCAAACGGGCTCACATTTTCCCTCCGTGTGTCATCACATCCTGGAAAATTACTGTCAAGAACAGGAGCCCTCTGGGCAGTGTTCGGGCCCGAATGCCCCGGGCGCCCGCACCCCGCAGGCCCCCAGCCCCCTCCCCTCCCTTTGGCTGTGTGCCTGTAGAGCTACCCTGGCCTCGGTCCTGCTGTGGGCTTTCTCGGCTTCCTCCAGCCCCCTGCCGGGTTGGGGCCTCTGGACAAATGGTCCACATCCCTGCATCCATGTGGCCTCCTGGAGGTCACGACCTGGGGATCTGCCGGGCCTGGGTTTGCAGGAGATGACGGGTCTTTTGTAGCTGCCCGGCCACCCTCAGAGCCTGAAATGCCAGCACCCCTTCCCCTTCCCGTGCCGGCCAGACCCTCAATGCTCTTTGCCTCAGTTTCCTTAGCAACCATAGTCTTTGCCACCCTGTGGCATGTTTTGAACCTCCAGGGAGCTCAGCACACAGCCCTGTGAGATCCCCCGCACTGGCACTGCCCCCCATGCCAACCCCCCTCCTCGGGCACCTCTGGCTCTGCCTAGCAAGAGGGTCAGGGTCAGGAAGACGGGGGAGTGGGGACTTCAGCAGCTGGGCCCAGATGGTGAGGCAGAAACCAGGCTCCCCCTTCCCGGCCCCTCTGTGGGATGGAAGGACTCTCTTGGGGAAGGCTTGCAGCTGAGCTGATGGGTGTCTGAAGAGACTGCAGGAGGGCTGGATGGGACGGGGAGGGCGTTCCCAGGGCTGTCACGCCATCCCCAGGTGTCCAGAGCATGGGGCACGTTCCCCTTCCAAGTCAGGAGGGAGCCCAGAGCCCGCCCCAGGCTGCCCCCAACTTGAGACGGCTCTCGGCTATTCCGTGAGGGAGGATAGGGCAAGTGTGGATCCACACACACGGTCTCCTGGCATCTCCCGCTGCCATTTGGCTGCCAAGTGACATTTCCCAGCAGCTCTGCTACAGACACCGTCTGTTTTCAGGGGAGATGCAGGTGGCCTGGCCTCTCTGGCAGCCCCTTATCCTGCCTGACCCCCGGCTCCAGCAAGGTGGCCCTGGATCAGGGCTTCTCCACTGGGCAAAGAGTGGGCATTCGAGGTTTCTGCAGAGGCTGCTCCCTGCGCCCCTTGGCCCTGTGCGGGACCCTGGGCACTGACCGACAGAGGCTTCCTGAGCAGGGCCAGGCCCTTGGCATGATGGGTAGGAATCTAGAGTGTGTCCACAGAAATTAAGATTTTGTCAGTTTTGTTTTCCAGATGAAATTCTATAGCCCCAATGGTGGCATGAAGTTGATGGCCCTGTCCCCTCTGGCCCACATCCCGGAGGCACTAGTGTGGGCTGTGGGCCGGGGGTCCTTAGCACTGTACTGCGTGGCGACATGCCAGCAGCCCGCCGGTGGCCCCCAGGCTGTGCCCTGGACGTGGCTGGCTGAGCATGTCGTGTCCTGGAGGTGGGGCCCCGTCTGGTCAGGCTCAGGCGCAGTGTGATGCCGTCAAGGGTGCTCTGCCCGCTCGGGGAGACGCAGTGTGGATTCGGGGTGGGGGGCTCCTCCAGGGAGGCTCTGGGCCAGGCCGCAGAGGGTGCCAACCTGCCACAGGCTGGCCTGGCTGCACATGGACATGGCAGCTCCTGGCCCAGGGTGTACCACGTTCTGCCCTCCTGTCCCCTGGGAGCCCGGCATGCTCCCAGCCTCTGGAATGCAAGCGCTGGGGCTGCGGGGGGCAGCCTGGCGCCTGGCATCTTGTTATAAAAAGCTCTGGCACAGGCTGCTCTCAGCGGCTGCAGGATGGTTGTGGCTTTGGAAGGGCAGCCTCCAGGGGCCTTGGTCAGCCACCTGTGGGCCCCACTGCCGGGCTGTGGTCAGCCTGCACTGGCTACCCTGCCATGATGCTGCCGAGGCCAGTGGGGCTCCCGCCAGACCCCGTGACATGTGACAGAGCCCCGTGCTGGGTGGATGCAGGGCTGTCACCATGGGCAGACAAGGCCTTGGGTGTGTCCAGAACAGCAGTCCTGGAGACACCGGGGACAGGTGTCCCTCTGGCTGTCTCCCAGTGTGGGCATGTTGGGGGTGCCAGGATGCCGTGCAGGGTAGGAGGCAGTGGCCCGTGGCCCCGTGGGAGACTGCAGGAGGGCTGGACGGGACGGCGGAGGGTGTTCAAAGGGCTGCCGTGCCATCCCCAGGAGCCCAGACCCCGCCCCAGGCCACCCCACTGGAGATGGCTGTCCACTCTAGGGCGGACGGGGCCAGTGTGGACGGCTCCGCTGTTCTGTAAGGACGGACGGGGCGCCATGCAGAGGTGACCCACCTGCACCACCACTGGACTGAATGTGCTGAAATTGCTGCCCAGCCTCTGGCTGTGTGGCCCGGCTTTGTCCATTTCATGGCTGTTGATGAGGGGTGACGCTGTCCCTCCCTCATCCCAGGGTGGGCAGAGGGAGGGCCCAGCTTGTTCCCTGAGGGCAGGCATGGATGGAGTCAGCCTGGCCATGGAGCTGTGGCCAGGAGGGCAGCGGGGGCAGCTGGCCTGGGGTTTTTGCCGACGCTCTAATTTGGTGGCTGTCACCACTGCTCCCACCCCCATGGAGACCCTGACGTGGGCTGAGCCAGACTCCAGGGGCCATGTGTCCTTCGGGGATCAGGACGTGGCGTCAGGACTGCTGCACTGGCTTGGGGGGCCCTCCAGCCCTGAACAGGCCCTGAGTGGGCTGGGGGCCCCGGCTGCTGTGCCCGGCCTGGCCCTGTGCGTGGCCAGGGCCGGGGGGAGCGGGCGCAGCTCCCAGGTCTGTGTGACCGCCTCGGCCGAGGGCACCAACGGCCATGACCCGCCGTCAGCCTCTCCTTCTACCTCCAGCCCGTGGACCGGGTGCCAGTGGTGTGCCACCCCGACCTGGAGGAGCGGCTGCAGGCCTGGCCGGCGGAGCTGCCGGATGAGTTCTTCGAGCTGACGGTGGACGATGTGAGAAGACGCTTGGCCCAGCTCAAGAGTGAGCGGTGGGTCCCCCTCGGCACCTCCTGGCTACTACTCCCCAGGGTTTGCCCTGTCAGAGGCCCTTGCTGCCCGCTGTCCTCGGGCACCATGTCCCTGACATGCTGCCCTTAAAGGCACCTCAGAGGGTTGGGGCGCAAAGGGGGCGTCCGCTCTTGCTGTCTCGTGTGGGGAGAGCAGCTTCCTCCTGCCCTGGCAGGTGCAGGTGACAAGCCCAGGCCTGTTGCTGGTGCCCCCATGCTGACCGGGAGCCCTGTTCCTTCCCCTCCCTTCTCACAGGAAGCGCCTGGAGGAAGCACCCTTGATGACCAAGGCCTTGAGGGAGGCGCAGATGAAGGAGAAGCTGGAGCGCTACCCAAAGGTCTGCAGACAGGGCTTGGGGGTCCAACTGAGGCACAGTTCTGAGGGGGTCCTGTGGTTCCCACATGGGACCAGGGCCCTCAGTGGTGGCATGTGTGCCCCTGGTAGCCAGTCGATCCTCCCCTGCTTACAATTTAGAATAAAACTTTTTTATTTGTTTATTTTGAGATGGAGTCTCACTCTGTCACCCAGGCTGGAGCACAGTGGCGAGATCTTGGCTCCTGCAACCTCTGCCTCCCAGGTTTAAGTAATTCTGCTGTCTCAGCCTCTCAAGTAGCTGGGACTACAGGTGCCCACACCTGGCTAATTTTTGTACTTTTAGTAGAGATGGGGTTTCACTGCCTTGGTCAGGCTGGTCTCGAACTCCTGATCTCAGGTGATCTCCCCATCTCGGCCTCCCAGAGTGCTGGGATTATAGGCATGAGCCCCTGCGCCTGGCCAAATGAAACTTTAACAGCAGATCTGAACACAGGTCAATGTGGTTCTGGGATTCGGGCCAGTGCACACACACGTGGCATTCTGCTTTCTCTGTGTCCAGCCTGCCGAGGGGGGGTCGAGGCTCAGGCCCGGCCCTGGGGGGACTGCTGCTGCTGCTGCTGCTGCTGCTGCCGCCTGCCCCGGCCCTGGGGCCGCGTGGGGAGGCTGTGCCCTGGTCCCTGGCTTGGTTCCGGCCGTCCCTCTGACCCCTCCGTTTGTCTGGCCTAGGTGGCTCTGCGGGTCTTGTTCCCTGACCGCTACATCCTGCAGGGCTTCTTCCGCCCCAGCGAAACAGGTGGGCAGCACTTCGGGGTGTCCGGGAATGGGGTCGGGGGCCCATGGGGCCCCTGCTGGCTCCTTCTTTCCAGGCCACACACAGGACTGCTGCCGCCTGGCCTGCAGGCTCCAGGGCACCGGGTGGGTTCAGGTTGCTGGGGTCGCCTTGGGGCTGTGGAGTGTTGGGCAGGCCCAGGTGCCCAGCCCCAGCTCAGGGAGCCCACGGTCCTAAGTACTTATGTCAATCACCTACTAGACACGGGTGGGGCTGAGGGGCACCCAGAGGAAGGTACCCACCCCCCCAGGAGGAGGGCAGAGGTACTGTGACATTCAGAGGTTCCCCAGTGAGCCGGGTGGCAGCAGCCCAGGGTCACAGGACTCCCCCAGGGAAGCACTCAGGCTGGGGTGGTGGCTGGGGTGGGGCTGGCGGCACAGGCTGGCAGTGGGAGTGCCCTCCTGCAGCAGGGCAGGGTCCCAGGAGTGTCCCGCACGGGTGTGCTGCCCCGCCAAGCACCTGGGGTGCCGTGGAAGGAACAGGGCTGAATTCCCACCCCAGGGGAAAGGCCCGGGAGGGTGAGAGCAGTGGCCCAGGTGCCGGGGCGGCCCGGGGCTGGCGTCGTGGAAGAGCTCTCTGTTTGTTTCTCCACTGCAGTGGGGGACTTGCGAGACTTCGTGAGGAGCCACCTGGGGCACCCTGAGCTGCCGTTTTACCTGTGTAAGGTTTTTCTCCTGAGCCCGCTCCTGGCATCTGTGGCCTTGCGCCCCGCTGCCTCCTGCCACCCGTGGTGTCTGTGTGGGGACCTGGGAAGGGCGCAGCAGGGTCCTTGCCCCCGAGCCGGGCAGTGGGAGCCAGGTTTCCCACGTTCCGTCCCGGTGCCCCGCTGCCCTCTGGAGCCCTGTTGCACCCCTACCTGGTCCCCACCCCTGGGGCTCAGGCCACTCCTGCCCGAGAGCTGTGGGAAGGATGGGTGGGCGTGGGGTGGCTGGCCTCCCTTGGAGGGTCTGTGGGTGTAAGGAGTTAGGCTGTCCGCCCCGAGGGGAGCTGGGCTGCAGAGCTGTGTGGGTGGTGCCCCCCACAGGTGGGCCTGCGCTGCCCAGCCCCTCCGAACCCCCCGCTGGGGTCTCTGCAGCAGGAGTAGTGGGGGCAAAGGGCATGAGCCTGATGGGGAGGCATGGCCCCATCTTCAGGCCTGCGGGCTGGGACTCCATCCTTTCTAATACCCAGCACCTTCTGTCCTCAGTTATCACTCCTCCAAAAACAATCCTGGACAACTACTCGTGCACCCTCTTTCAGGTACCTGCAGGCCCTCCCTCCTGGGGTGCTGTGGGGTGGGGCCTCCGGGGAGGACGGGATGGGAGCCCCCTGGGGGCCTGCGGGTGCTGTGGGGCAGGGCCTCTGGGGAGGGCAGGGCAGGAGGATGAGGCCCCGCGCTCAGGAAGGAGGGCCCTGGCAGCCGCTGCCCAGGGATAATAAGCCTTTGAGAGCCAGAGCGGGGTGCTCGCCTCTGAAGTTGCTTCTGACCGGCTCTCCACCTCCTCTACTTCCTGCCTGGCCCCGGCCTGTCCGAACTGAGGCTGCTTGGAGGTCTCAGCCCCCTGGGCTGCTTGTGCTGGGGCCAAGGCAGGCCCAGCTCCTGCCCAGGGGTCTGGGTGAGGAAGGGCCCGCAGGCCTGGGAGCAGGGCTGGGGAGCCCCAGAGGGACCCAGCCCTCAGCTGGAGGTGGCCACCTGGGGCTTCAGTGACCAGGCCCGTTTTCCCGCCCGTTCCCCTGCCTGGCCTCTCCCGCTGGCCCCACTGGCCCCTGCTAGGAATGCCCTGGTGCCCATTGCTGTCCGCTGCTTCTGCGGGTCCCTGCCGCCTCCCTGAGAGCTCCTGAGGGTGAGGCCAGGGCGAGGGGCCAGGTGCCCAGCCCTGCTGGGCCACCCACCCTCCAGAGCCAGGAGCAATGAACGTCCTGTCCTTGGCCGGGTGGGGGTGAGGGGGGAGCCGCCTGGGGCCCCCTGAAGCCCTCTGGCCTAATGGTTTCCTCTTCAAAGACTCTTCTGATATTTTAATTAGCAGAGGAGGGTTCTTTTTAAGTGGCCGCAGGCCTCGGCAGAGGTCTGGGGTGGAGGTGACAGGCTTGCTCACTGCCTGCGGTTGCAGCCACGGGGCTGAGATGGAGCAGGAAGGCTGGTAGCTGCCAGGGGTGATCAGAAGCAGGCCTGAGCGGGATTCCCTGCAGCAGAGGCGGGCGCAGGGAGGGGTGACAGTCCCCTTTCAGCCCGAGCTGCTGGCTGGACTTTGGGCCTCTCTCCACTGCCTCCGCCCCTTTCTTGCTGGCCAGCCAGTTGATAAACATTGAATTTAGAAGATTCCTTGGGATGGAGGCGAACCAGTGCCCAGGCCTGCAGCCCACCCTCCCATTGGGAGGCCCCGAATGGCCCTGGGGTGCTGCTGCCCTGTTTCCGGAGACACCCTGACCCCCCCCTACCAGCCGCCGCCTCCTGCCATCCGTCAGCTTAGCTCCAGCCTCGGGGCCTCTTGGGGTGGTGTCCCTGGTGACGTCCCTGCCTGCCCGCCATCAGAGAGCTGGCAGGGCTGAGGGAAGGAAGCTGCCTCCTTGGCGGGCAAGCAGGCGGCGGGCGCGGAAGCGCCAGCTTTCATGTCTGGCAGGGCCCTGCTCCGGCTGCCAGCTCCCTGGGGAGTGTCCAGGAGCCGGCCCCTGCTTCCAAGAGAGATGGTGTGCGTGGTGTGGGGCTGACAGCCCGGCAGCCCTCGGTGGCCCTGGCCCAGGAGAGCTGAGAGGAGGCGGCCAGGAGTGAGGACGAGCAGTTGGGAGCAGTGTGGGGTGCTGCTTTGGGGCACAAAGTCCCCCAACCCCTGCCTGAAACTTGCTTCCTAGCCCTGAGCGTCAGGGTGCCCTCAGCCCTGGGGTCCGTGCTCTGCCCTTCACCCTGGAGCACCTTAACAGGCCTCGAAGACACCGGTGCGCTCCAGGGACCCCCTCACAACCGGCTTCGTCTTCTGGCCCTGTGGGGACGGAATTGGAGGCCTGGCGCCTGCACGCGTACACACAGCCTGCTGCTTCCGCAGCGGGGGTCGGGGGGAGGGGGTGCAGGCCCGGGGGCGCCCAGCCCCTGATGTCCCGGGAGGTCCTCCCTCTGCCCGTGGTGTGATTTGAGCATCAGCGCCCCCCGCGTCTGTCTCACCACACTGCTGCCTGCTGCCCTCCTGAGGGTCTCAGTTGTCCCCAAGGCCAGGGCAGGGCATCTAGAAGTACCTGGCCAGGTGTCTTCCCATCTCTGCTGTGCTTGTCTAGGCTGGGGAGCAGAGGGTAGAGATTGCTTCCCCGTGGGATCCCAGAGACAGCCAGCAGGCAGGGGACTTGTGGTGGACAGCCGGTGGGGCAGGGAGGCCTGCTTCCACGGGAGCTCCCCCAGGGGTCCTTCCCCAAGGCCTCAGCCCTGCAGCCCCGGCCTGGGCCCTGGTATGTGCTTTGTCCTTGTCCAGAGCAAAACAAAGAGACGAGGGGTGGGGGCCCACAGACAGGAGCCTGCCCTGGGGACTGAGCCCTGCCCAGAGCCCTGCCTGTGCACGTCCACCTGGCCTGGATCAGGTGAGATTCAGCTCCAGTGCCGGTGCCGGCCATGATGGGCTGAGTGCACCTGGCGGCGAGTTCCCTGGTCAGGGCCTCCTTCCAGGTGCGGCCGTCCCCCTCCCGTGGGGGCTGGCTGTGGCCATGCTGTGTCGAGCGGGGGAGGCAGCCCTGGGTTGCAGGAAGCCCGGGGCCAGCCCTCCTTTCTGGTCCTGGGGATAGAGCAGCTGGACCTTTCTCTTGGAGGTGGGAGTGGGGAGGGGAGCCCCAGGGGGCCTGTGGGGGTGAGAGGGGGTTCTCAGGCTTCCTTCCCCGCCCCAGCTGCGGTCCCCATTCCACTGTCCTCACCCCACTGGGACCCTTCTGGGGGCTGGATGTACCGGGGAACCCTGAGTCCACTGGGGTGGCTGTGACAAAGGCCCATATCCCGGAGGCCTGGGGTCCAAGCTCCCGGGATGGCTGGGCTGGCCCCTCTCAGGCTTCCGTCGTGGCTGGCAGAAGTTACATCTGTGTCCTCGCACGGTCACTTTTGTGTGCGTTCTGTGTCCTCATGAGAATTCACACTGGAACAAACCTGCCTTTGATGTCATCTTACCTTACGTAACTCTTCAAAGACCCTGCTGGGCTTCGTTCACTGGCTTTGGGGGGCAAACCTGGCTCCTAACACTCTCCATCTGTTGGAGCTCTTGGGCTGCCTCGGGGGACCAGGACACGGACCCCTTGCTGCCTGGTTCCCTACTCCCCAAGCTACCTGCCTGGCAGGGTGTGCCTGGCACTTCCAGCCTGAGTGCCTGCTGGGCGCCTACCCCTAGCCAGTCCTGTCCTTCCTCTCCTCCCAGGACAGCTCCCCACCGCTGGGGACTGTGCAGCGGACAGGCTCCCTTCTTTCCCCTGACCAGGCCCGCCTGGGCCTCCGAAATGTTCCTCATTACCTCATGGTCTTGCAGAAGCAGGATGGCTCTGCTCCCACCCCCGCCCCCCGTGGGTGGATGCCCTGTCTCTCCCTGCCTGGGAACCGTGGTGCTGCCCCATGCCTGGGCATCTTGGGCCATAAGCCTTCTCTCCTGGCTGCTTTTCCCCGGATGGCGGTGCCGTTCTTCCCCGTGGGGACGGCTGGGGCGCTACCTGTGCATCCTGCTCCTGCAGAGTCACTGCCCACGGGAGTTGGCCTGGACCTCGTTTCGGAAGCTTTTCCTGGCAACACTGAGTGTGGCAAGGGGCTGGCAGCAGAGGGGGCTGGCTCCAGGGTGGCTGGGCTGGCCTCTCTCAGGCTTCTGCTGTGGCTGGCAGACTGCGTCCTCACAGGGTCACTTGTGTGTGTGGTCTGTGTCCTCATTTCTTGAGGAATCAAACTGGACTAGACCAGCCTTTGATGTCATCTCATATCACTTATCTTTTCAAAGATAAGTGAGATATCTTCAAAGATAAGTGCACTGTCCCAGGCCCTCAGGTTGTGTCAGGGCAGGGTGGGCGTTCCTCTTCCCTGTCAGCCCAGGGAGCCAGGACAGTGCTGGTGGGGACAGGCCCCTCAGCCTGCACCTCCCTCAAAGGCCCTTTTTGGGCCCTGCTCTGGGTGGCGGCGGGGGTGGGGGTGTCCACTGTGACTCACATTCCATGTCTAGACCCAGCTTCGTGACTGGGGTGGCTCCATCCACCCTGGTCCCTTGCTGAAGTGGCCCCTGGAAACCAGGGCAGAGAGCACGCACCGTTTCTGACAGTGGGAGATGGAGGTGACCTGCGACTTTGGGAGGCTCCTCTTCTGGGGTCCATCCAGAGGCCGAACCTCTCCAAGCACCGCAGCCTCCATGCCACCCAGTCCGCTGAGCCTCTGCGCCACTGGCTGCCAGGCCTACTTCCCTCTCCTCGAGTTCCTGGGCCTGTGTGTCCCGCGGTGCAGTGCTGGGAGGGTCATGGCCTGCGGGGGCAGTGATGAAAACCAGGTGCCTCTGCATCGGTGGCTTCTGAGGGATTCCTCTTGCCCGGCGGCAGGTGGGACACAGATGGGGCTGGCCAGGCCTCCGGTGCCCACAGCAGCCTCCAGGCAGGGTCCCCTGGACTGCTGGGAGCGGCTGCAGCCTGGGCGTGAATCCCGGAGGCCCCATGGCGCGCTCTGTCTGTGAGGCTGAGGCCACGGCGGCTCCTGGCGCTGTCCTCCTGGTGCCCCCTTCCTGGCTCCCCAGCTTCCGGCGCCTCTCCAGGACTACTGGGGCAGCCCCTGCGCACCCCACAGGCCCTGCTGTCCTCACAAGGCTTTGATCCCAGGCGGCACAATTGGGTTTTCAAAGCATTCACGGCCCTTGTTTGTGTCCCCGGCTGGAGGCTGAGGTTTCAGCGTTCCTGGGCCTGGCCTTTGAAGCTTCCTCTTATTAATCTTTTAACATCCCTCAGCCCCACCCCAGCCTGTGGCCCCAAGCAGCCTGGAGCCAGGAGGGGGATGCTTTCAGCCTGGCAGCTGCAGCCCTCCACAGTGGTTCCTGCCCTGCGTCACCTTCCTCGGGTGCAGAGTCCAGACCAGGGAGGGCTGTGATACTGCACAACTTGGGGACCCTCGGGGCCCCAGCCTGCAGCTGGTTTGGGACTTGGGGTGGTCCCATGGAGGGCGCTGCTGGTCTCAGGATGCCCTGGCCTTGCTTACAGTGGTAGGGTTGGTGCCAGAGTCGGGACAGGAAGCTGGGCAATGAGGGGCCCATGGGGGCCGGGCAGGTGGAGCCTGCCTGAGGGTGGAGCTGTGACCATCAGCAGGGCCTGGGCCTGGGCCTGGGGGTGGGTGTGGCTGCCTCCACAGCAGGAGGGGTGCTCTGCCCACGGTGCCCGCACAGCTCCTGAGCCTCCCGCCCTCCCTGCAGGCGAACCTCTTCCCGGCTGCTGTGGTGCACTTTGGAGCCACGGAACCAGCAGGTGAGTGTCAGTGGCTGAGGCTTTGGAGCCTGACCAGCCCATCTGGGACCTGAAAGCCAGCTGCCCCAGAAGGCGTTCAGTCTGGGGCTCCCAATACCCACCTCCCCGAGGGAGGGCTGGGACAGCCACCTGCTGGCCACCCTGCTCCAAGAGCCAAGTGCTGGTGGCTGGATGCTGGGCGGATAGGGTGGGCCTCTCCGAGGCTGAGGGTGGGCTGGGGCCTCCCTGCAGGTGTCTACCTGGAGCCTGGCCTGCTGGAGCACACCATCTCCCCATCTGCAGCTGATGTGCTGGTGGCCAGGTAAGTGCCGGTGGGTTTGGGGGCTCCTCCCTCAGCAGCACCCACCACACTGTGTCTTTACCTCCCCCCAGGTACATGTCTAGAGCTGCCGGGTCCCCTTCCCCATTGCCAGCCCCTAACCCTGCTCCTGAGTCTAAGCCACCTGCTGAGGAGGGGGCAGTGGGCCCCGGTGAGCCCATCTCAGGGATGGTCCCGCCTGTCAAGAGGAGCCTGGGCAAGGTGCCCAAGTGGCTGAAGCTGCCAGGTATTGTGGCCTGGTGGAGGGCGGGGGGCTGGGTGCTTCGGCCAGGTGGAGGAGGGTGCTGCGGCCGAGTCGGGGATGGGGGGCCGCGTGCTGAATTTGGGGGCAGGGGGGCTGGCTGCTGCAGCGGGGGATGGGGCAGCGAGTGCTTTGGCCAGGCCAGTGAGCGGGTGGCTGGGCAGTGAGAGCCCAGGGCCTGTGGTCACCCTGGTGTGTTTGCACTACAGCCAACAAGAGCTGAGAGCTGCCAGCCTGAGGTGCCCAGCAGCCACAGGACCACCTCCCCTGCCAGCAGGAATAAAGACTGTGCGTCCTTCAGTGCCTCCTGTCGTACTTTCTCCAGCAAGGGCCCCTGTCCTCCACCCTGACTTGGCCGGACTGGAGTGTCTAGGCCCAAGGATCCTGGTGGACCGTGGTGTGGGCCCCGGCGGCCACTCGCTGGGCCGAGGCGTGCATCCTGAACCCGCATGGGGCTCCTAACGGTATTTACCCCTCCTCCCAGGGGAACAGAAGTGCTGGGAGAAGGGATTTTTGGGCAGATTGCCTACAACTGAGGGGCCAAGCCCAGGCCCGGAGCTGGGGGAGTTAGTGGGCCACGCGCAGCTTCAGGGCAGGGCAGGGCCTGGCCTTGGGCCTCCCGCTGTCCCATGGCCGCAGTGCTGGGTTCTGGCCCTGCCTGCCCAGTAGCAGCCTCCGAAGCCTGATGACTTCCACAGGCTCCCCAGGGCTTTGAAACTGAGACCTCCTTTGGTGGGCAGGGTGGGGAAGGGGTGGGTCCCAGCGGCAGCTCTGCCTGGCCAGGGCCAGTGGGGCTAAATCAAGGATGGAGAGGCTCCCCCAAAGTTGTCTTGGGGCACCACGGCAGGAGAGGCTGGGCCGCCTCCAGTGATCCTCAAGAGGCATCTCTTGTCCTCACCCTGGAACCCGGCTCCCTGCGCTCTAACTCTCCGTGCATGGGGCCCCAGGGTGGCTCTCAGCTGAGAGCCCCTTGGGTGTTCACGGTCCTGGGCTATAACTAGGGAACTGAAGTGAGGTGGGCTAAGGCACCTGGTGGGGCACTGGAGGGACGTGGCCCAAGGCCCTGCTGCGTCCCAGTCGTTGGCACAGGTGGAGCTCATGCCACACTTCTGAAAATCAGGCAGCAGCCAGACCTGGATGGGGCATCCAGGCAGGTCCCACAGCCCCATGTCTCCAAAGGGGGGCAGGAGGTATGGCCTGAGGGGGTGACCCATACCCCACGGCACTGCTTGGGGCTGGTGTTGGAGAGAAGGGGAGGCCCTTTCTCCATTTCAGCAGGGCCTTGGGCCAGGGTCCCTCTCACCCTGTGCATCCCGGTCCTGCCTGCAGCCACAAGAATATTCATGGAAGCCACTGCTCGCTGGGGGCAGGCCCCGTGGCTGCCCCAGCCCTGGGGGCTGGAGTAACGTTTTCCAGGTGGGCGGCCACATGTACAAGGTCTGGGCCCCACAGCCCCTGGCACACATGCCGTCGGCCTGTCCTGGTGCTTCGCTTTCGTCTTACCAGGGGTGGAAGGGCGCACACAGGGAGCGTGGCTTTGAAGCAGGCTGACTTCAGTGATTAATGGCAACAAGACAGCCAGGCTGGGAGAGACAGTTTTGATTTATTGATGTTGCTTTGTGAGAACAAATTTATAGCCTCGGGAACCATTTTCTGAGGGGAATACCGGATGGCTGGGAAGGTCACACAGGCTTTGATGTCGGTGGCAGGAATGTGGCCAGGAGGCGGCGCTGCCAGCTGCTGTTTGTAAAACGGTCTACCTGCTGGCTGGTGGCCGGGCCTTTCCCAGCACTTGCCTGTAGGACCCCAGGGGACAGGCAGGGACTCCCCCATGGGCCTGTCCCCAGTGGGCACTCCAAGGGTGGCAGTGTGCTGCAGTCCTGCCCCTTCTGCAAAGGCTGCGGAATCTCGGGATCTTGTTTGAATCAGCTCCAAATCCCTCAGGTCCTTCCCCGTCTGCAACCAGAAGCCACTAAAAACAAGCCCCGATTCTGTGGACTAGGGTCTTCCCCGGGGTGGCGTCAGCCACGGCTGAGATCCCTAGAAGTCCAGGAGCTGTGGGGGAGAGAAGCACTCGGGGGCAGCCTGCCAGCCAGGCACCCTCAGCTGTGCCCGACCCACGTTTGTCCGGGAGCTGTGGGGGAGCGAAGTACTTCGAGGAACCCCCACCTGCGCCCCGACCTGCATTCACGTACCAGCTGTGGGAGCACCTTCTCCAGCTGGTCCACATCCACGAGAACGGCATCTTCTGCCTGGGCCTGCCGCACCCCACGGACTGCTGCTTCTGCAGTGAGAAACTCAAGTGGGGGATGCTGGGAGATCTGAAACTCGGGCCCACCGAGGGCCTCAGCCGGGGCCAGTGCCCCCACCCACATCCACGGGCAGCCCCTAGAACCAGGTTGTAGCACCTGACCAGCAGGCGCAGGAGACCAGGTTCAGGCCCTTGTGGGAAACGGGAAAACGTGTCTTGGTTTTCCGGCTGGAGAAACAAAGGGAATCCTGGACGCTGCCTGGGAGGCGGGGCCCTGGGCTCACCCACAACGAAGATCTTCAGCAGCTCTGCCATGAGCTGCAGTGCATCCCCGCTAACTGCAAGACAGGGGGAGGAGCTTCCGTGGGACCCTCGCCCCCTGCCCTGGCTGGGTGCTCCAGACGTACCCCATCCTTCCCAAGGCCTTGGCCCTGCAGAGTTGTGGGAAAGGTACAGGACAGGTATGGGAAGCCCCCGCCACCCGCACCCCACCTGCACCTTTGGTCTTGTCATCCTTAAAGTGCACGTGCAGCAGCCTGCTCACCAGCTCCTGGAGGGAAGACGGGTGTCAGTGCCAGGCCCTGCCCTCCCCCACACCCCCAGGGTGGTGATCATTCTGGGTGACAGTGGCTGTGATTTCCAGCTGGAGGTGCCCTCTGTGCTTGGGCCTCTCCCAGGGCAGGGGACAAGGGCCTGCCCAGTGATTAGGGTGGCAGAAGCTGGAAGAGCAAGGTCTGTCAGAGCTGCCCTGCAGTGAGTGGTCGTAGACGTGGGAGCAGGCCCGGCCTGCTGGGGCTCCAGGGGGAGAGAGGAGAGGCCTTGTGGAGTCTGGCGTAATCTTGCACTCCCGTCCCCAGCCAAGGGCCATGGATCTGCTTTTCTTTTGAGGAGGTAGAAAGGCAGAGCCGGCCTGGGGCTGGAGGCTGGAGGCTGGAGGCGGCTGCTCCCTGGGTGGGCTGGCCTGAGGGAGGGAGTGCCACGGGTAAGGCCTTGCTTGGCCAACGCTGTTCAGTGTGCTGGGTCAGCTCCGGATAAGCACCGGTCTTCCCTGGTGCTTATCCTGCAGGAGGTGCCGGTGTCTGGGAGCAGAGCTGGGCTGCACCAGCGAGGCCTGCAGGTTAGAGTGGAGGGAGGGGTGGGCTAGACGCTGAGGGCCTGAGGCCCGATCAGCTCTCTGGCAGGAAACTGGGAGTCCTTTCTGGGATTTTTGCGGAAAGTAGCACTGAGGTTTGAAAGGACCCCCCTGGCCACCATTACCAGGGAATGGGGGGCAGGGAGGAGGCTGCAGAGGTGGGGCCTTTCCACCTTCCTGAAGCATGCAGGACGAGTACAGGGGAGGAGTCCATGCCAAGACCCCAAAAGGACAGCACTGTTCTGTGGAGCTGGGGGGCCGTGGGCACGTGTACTCAGGAGCTGGGTTTGGGATGTATTGTCATGAACACAAGAGCTGTCCACAGGCAGTGGCAGGCGGCAGCTGCAGCAGTGCCTGAGACTTGGAGGGCAGCCCTGGGTGGCTGGTGGAGCCACGAGACTCAGCGAGGTGGCCCAGGGCAGGTACCAACCCACAGGGGCTGGGAAAGGAGCCGGCACGGAATGCCCTGGGCTGGGGGTTAGGGGCAGTGGGCATCCAGGAGCCCAGAAACAGGCACTACAAGGGAAGGTGGGTGAAGGACCGGCCAGGCTGCCAGCAGCGGGAGGCAGGGCGCTCACAGCACCTCACTCAGAGCAGTCCAACAGGTGACAAGCAGAGCCGCAGATGGGTGAAACCCTGGGGCATGGGAGGTGAATGTGCCACAGCAGCGGGCAGCAGGGCCCAGCGTCCCGGTTCGTCCTGAGCCCTCACTGTCCCCCAGCCCGGGGCCGGGTCACCACCCACGTAAGCTCAGTGCCACCTGCTGGTCCTTCTGGCTGCCTACCGCCAGCTCTACCTGTAAGGTACCACCAGAAAAGGCAGAGAAGGCACTACTTCCCCACCTGCTCTGAGACCCCCAACACCACTGCCCCAGAAGGCCTGGGAAGGAAGACCATGCCAGTGAGTGGCAGCTGCTGGGGCTGCCTGGATAATCCAAGGGGTCGATCCATACACGGGCAGTGGCTTCGGGAGACAGGACCAGCATTGGGGGTGGGGCTGGCGGCCTGGGACACGCCCAGCCTTGCCCCCCAGACCTGTGGGTGCCACGCCAGGGCTGCAGCGCCCCTGCTCCCCATCGTCCTCAGGCTCTTCGTCTGTAATGACCACAACTCCAGCTCTGGCCAGAGGCCTTGGGGCCCTAGTTGTCAGGTGGGCTTGACGGAGAGAACACATGACCTCCCCCGGGGTATGCCCAGTGCCCTCTCTCCAGCTGTGGCCTTTTGGCTACTCTAACCTGGTGGGGGATTCTCACAACCAAGCGGTGAGGTGGCCCAAGCCTCCGTGACTTTCTCTTTCTGAATTGTCTGGCAAGAATCTTCAGCAACTCCACCCCCAGAGTCCCTCCGCTACCCGCAACCCTGCACCAAGCCCCTGGTACCCTTGGGTGATAGAGAGGCTGATACAGAAACGAAGAATTCCCCCTGCCTCTACAGGGTGGAAGTCGTCCCCTGAGGATGGGTCCACAAGGGCCTGAGACCCTCCCCTTTCCAGGCCACAGATCCACGAGGCCCTGATGACATCGAGGAAGCTCAGTGCCCCAACCTTCAGGAACAGTAACGAAGGACTCAGAAACCCCTCTGCCTGCGCAGTGGGTCCTCTGCACACGACACCCCCAGAGAGCCCCGCTCACCAGGGGCAGGGAAGAGCGGGGCACGCCCTCCAGCCTTGGCGGATCCTGGCTCAGGAAGGCCTGGGTCTGACCCTAGCCCTGGTGAATCACTTAACGCACCCGAGCCTCGGTTTCCCCACTGGCGGGCGGGGTTAACAGGTGTCCAGTGTGTGTAGCGTGGAGCACCGAGGACACCACGCGTTGCTGGGACTTAGCCCAGTGCTGGCGCCCACCGGGGAGCGGGCAAAAGGGGAACTACTCGGCAGCCGAGTCCTGCCGACTGGGGCTGGACGGTGTCACTGCTGCCGCCCTGGGGTCTGACCTGCTGTCCACAGGAGAAACCAGGCTCGGGGCGCGGGGCGGCGGCCCAGCTCCGCCTTTTTGCCGGCTTGGACTCCGCCGGGATGGCGCCTACACATGCCTACCTCTGCGGACCTCCTCCACCTTCCCGCAGCCCCGGCTGCCCCACGCGCCCTTCTACCTGCCGCGGGACCCCCGCCCAGGAGAGCGCGGGGCGCGCTGCGGGCCGGTGTTGGAGTCTGAGAACCCGCCCAACCCCAAAGGTACAGGTGGGCGGCGCGGGGGCTGGCTTCGGGCCCTCACAGTGTCACACGTGGGGTCGGGACGCAGCGTCCACGCGGGCCGAGGCCCTGCCCGCCGGCCCTCACCTTCCGGAAACCAGCTCCGGCTCCCGCTCCCTCCATGGCCGCCGCCTCGGCGCGCGCCCTCCGGAGCCCCGCCCCGCGCCCCCAGCCAATGAGACCCGAGCGCGCCCCCGGAGTGTCTTCTCCCGGAGCCCCGCCCCTACCTTCAGCCAATGAGCCCGAAGCGCGCCCTCCCGCAGCCCCACCCTCACGCCCCTCAGCCAATGAACCAGGAGCGCGCCCTACCGGGGCACCACCCTCACGTCCCTCAGCCAATGATCCTGGAGCATGCCCTCCCGGAGCCCCACCCTCATGACCCTAGCCAATGAAACTGGAGCGCGCTGCTCCCCTTCAGCTTGCTATCCCAAGAGCGCGCCAGTTCCTTTGTTCTAATTGGCCCCCAACTAGCGCCGCCAGCGCAGAGCCTGCTGGGAGTTGTAGTTCCCGCGGCCGCTCCTGGCGCGCCTGGTTCTTCCTGGATACTGAGGTCCCGAAGCGGCTGTCGCGAGGACTGGGGCCGAAGCGGCGGGCGCGGCAGGGCCTGGAGGGGCGCGCGACGAGCCTGCCTGCTTCCTGCACGGGGGGCCCCACGCGCCCCGGGGCCCCGGCCCGACGCGGACCTTGACTGCCGGCCAGCTCCGCGCTCCCGGGACCTCCCGCCCGCAGAGCCCGCTCTGATTGCTCTTCGTCCGGGTCGGCGGAGGCGCGGTCTCCTGTACCCGGCGCCGGGGCTGCTCGGCACCGGGCGGCTCCCTGTCGGCAGCTGCGGGAGCATGCGGAGGAGTTCCTGCCGACCCCGCGGGTCATGGAGGAGTTCCGGCGCTCCTACAGCCGCTTGTGCAGGGAGAGCGGGGCCGAGCCCCAGGAGGCTGTCCTGCAGCAGCTGCAGCAGCTGCCCAGGGGCCGGCTGGACCTGGCCACGCGGAGCCTGACGGTGGACACCTGCAGGGCCCTGGGCGAGCTGCTGCCGAGGGAGACGCTGTGTACGGAGCTGGTCCTGAGCGACTGCATGCTCAGCGAGGAAGGTGGGCAGGCCCGGCGGGGTCGTCGCTGCTCCTGAGCGGCCGCTTCCTCTCCGGGCTCCCCTCTTTCTGTACCGTAGTTAAGGCGAGCAGGGGCGCCTGTTCCTGCACCTGGGAGTGGAGGGCAGTTCCTCTTTATGACGGGGGAAGAGGCCTTAACCTGCCGCGACTTACCTGGTTCCCTGCGTGCCGACGCGGCCTCGTGCTGCAGGGGCTGCAGGTGTTTCAAACACGGCCTCGCAGCGAGACTCTCGGCCAGCGCCAACCCAGACCACCTGGACAGTTGTCCTTCCCTGGGTCTAGGGAGCTGCCCTGAAAAGGGGCCCACAGGGAGGGGTCTTGGGGTCAGCAGGGCCAGAGAGTAATCGCGGCCTCCCTTACACAGGGGCCACACTGCTGCTCCGAGGCCTGTGTGCCAACACCGTGCTGCGCTTTCTGGACCTAAAGGTGAGATACCTGCATTCTGGGTGTCCGAGTGTGCCACCCGAGGGCAAGAGGAGAGTGGGAAGGTGCCAGGTCTCGGGGGCCTGGGGTCTGGGCAAGTGGCTGGAAACTGTAAGTGCCCCAGGCCGTTCTCCGTCGGCCTCCTATTTGAGTGACTGTCTCTGGAGCAAGAGTTCACGTCAGAAACAAGCAAGCCAGCCCCAGGAAGCCCCCTGAAGGAAGGGAGGCTGCACCCCCGCCCAGGGGGCACCCCAGCCTTGTCCACTGGCTGACCGGGGCCCTTGGGGCATGAGCGGAAATTCAGAACCAGTCAGGGCGAGGGGAGCGACTACCAGCCTGTTTCTGTCCTAGGGCAACAACCTTCGAGCCACCGGGGCTGAGGCTCTGGGAAAACTTCTCCAACAGAACAAGTCCATTCAGAGGTGGGTGGTGGTCCGGACCCCACCGTCACCCCAGGCCCGCTCTCTGTGTGGTTGAGGATTGGCCCCAGAGCACGTGGTTCACAATTGCCAGTTGTCTGCTGTGTTTCACAAACGGCAGCAAGCAGGCAGAGGCTCCAGCCCGTCAGAGCCCAAGCCGACACCGTCCCCAGACCCTGGACCCCGTGGGCTCGGCGGTCCCCTGGGCGAACACTGGCTCCTATCCTTCCTGCAGCCTCACGCTGGAATGGAACAGCCTGGGCACGTGGGATGAGGCCTTCGCCACCTTCTGTGGGGGCCTGGCGGTCAATGGCACTCTGCAGCGGCTGGATCTCCGCAGCAACCAGATCAGTCACAAGGGCGCCGAGGAGCTGGCCCTGGCCCTGAAGGGCAATGCCACCCTCCAGCAGCTGGGTGAGGCCTTCAGGGTGCCTCGGGCTCCCTCGTCCCTCCGAGACTGCCTGTGCTCTTGGAAGTGAGGGGCTAGGGGACCAGCCAGGCCAGCTCCCCCTCCACCAGGTGCTTTCCATCTGGTGACTACAGGTTTCCTTCCAGACCTGCGCTGGAATAACATTGGCCTCCTGGGGGGTCGGGCCCTCATGAACTGTCTCCCCAGCAACAGAACCCTGTGGAGGCTAGACCTGGCTGGGAACAACATCCCCGGAGACGTCCTCAGAGCCGTGGGTACGGTGCGTGGCTGTGCGGAACGACACATGGGCCTCTCTCAGAGGGTGGGGTGCTGGGCCTGGGACCAGAACTCATGATGAGAGCAGCCCGAGAGCCCGTGGAATCGGAAGGAGCACTTGACTGGCGCTCGCCACACGTGGGCACTGCCCAAGACTCCCCGTGCGCTCCACGAGTTCTTACGGCCTGTGCAGTGGGGGTGCCCATTTCGTAGCTGCGGAAGCTGAGGCCTTCTGGCTCACGGCGCTGGCCTTGGTGGCAGTGCTGATCCTTCAGGTGGCGGGAGGGGCTTCTTGGCATTTGCTCCGTGGTCAGCCTGAGTTGCGGCCCTGCACGTGAGTCCTGTGGGGTGGGGCCGCCTGGTCTGTGTGGCCTCCACATTCCCACCCACCAGCAAACCCCAGGTCCTTGCGGCTGATGTCTCAGTGTCAGGTCTCAAACTCCCTCATCCACACACAGTGGCAGCGTCTTCCGGCCCCCGTGCCGAGGGCTCTCCCTCCTGCTGGCCCTGCCTGGCCTCTGGCTCCCGCTGCGCCGTCCCTGGCGTTGCCTGAGTGCTGGCCTGGCTGTTGTCATTGCTCCTAACCTCTGCTGCCTCCCCACATGCCGTGATCTTTCCAGAATGTGAGCTGGGCACAGTGTCCACCTCAGCATTGCACTGTGCCCCCTGGTCACTGGGGTGGTGGCCAGACGCGCCAGGATGGCCCTGGCCTCTTGTGGTGGATCAGCCCACACCACCCCTGCCCCACGTGTGCACGTCCCCCCCAGCACTGGGCACCTCCCGCTCAGGCCCCCACTCTATGAAGCTCATCTACCCCAGTGCACTGAGGGGTGCCTGTGACTTGCTGGATGAGACACTGCCCGGCACAGCATAGATTTCCAAGCAGCCAGCTGCCAGGTGCAAACCAGCCACCTCTGAGGCTGAGCAGCCCTGGGGAAACAGCTGAGGGTGGGGGGTGCGGTGTGCGTGCGTGCGTGTGTGTGCTTGTGTGTTTCTGCACGTGCACAAGCCTCAGCCTCCGGACTAGCAGGGATTACAGGTGTGTGCCACCACGCCCAGCTAATTTTTTGTATTTTTAGTAGAGATGGGGTTTCACCACGTTGGCCGGGGTGGTCTCAAACGCCTGACCTCAGGTGATCCAACCTCCTCAGCCTCCCAGAGTGCTGGGATTCCATGTGTAAGCCACTGCGTCTGGCTGACACAGCTCCTTCTGACAGAGCAAGCCATGGCACACAACCAGGACCGGCTCACCACCTTCCAGGAGAACCATGCCCGCACTCACGTGCTCAGCAGGGAGGTCCAGCACCTTCGGGAGGAGAAGTCCAAGCAGGTGAGGATGGCGCCTTCACTGGCCTCGGAGCTGCCCGTGGCTGGAGGTCCTGCCATGTCCTGCCTTCCCCAGCCCCACGGTGCGCCCGCCTTCCCTTTCTTGGGGCTCTGGAGCTTCCCTGAGTGGCTGGTACCTGGAAGGAGGGGCAGCCACCTGGTCTGAATCCCTGCAGCTGGGCTTCCTTGGGGAGCTGGCATCTGAACCCCAAGGCCTTGCTCTGTAGGAACCACCCTCCCTGTGAAGGAGAGGGGGCACTGTGGGGGGGACCCTTCGCTGCCTTGCTGGGCTCCTGCTCTCCTTTCCCTGAGAAGGTTGGGTGGACAGGCTGCAGGTGCCCTGACAGGCCGCGGCTGTCTCTGTCCCCAGTTTTTGGACTTGATGGAGACCATCGATAAACAGCGGGAAGAGATGGCTAAGAGCAGCAGGTGAGCCCAGGGCCGCAGGGGCAGGGTGAGGCTTCAGGGCTCAGGTCCTGGCTCAAGACTCAGCTGGGACCCAACCCGAGCCCACGAGTGAGGCCACCAGGAGGCGGCTGGAGGCTCAGTGCCCAGACGACCATAGATGCTTAAGGAGCAGCAGCAGCTACCAAGGCCAGAAGGGTACGGCAGTGCTCTGGGGTTGGGGTTACTCTGCACCCTCATCTCTGCCCACAGGGCGTCAGCAGCCCGCATAGGGCAGCTTCAGGAAGCCCTGAACGAGAGGCACTCCATTATCAACGCTCTGAAGGCCAAGTAAGGATTGGGGGGTGGCTTCAGGATACTTCAGAGATGTGCCACAGGGCAGAAGAGGGTGCTGTGACCCTGTGTACAAAGCAGAGGTGGGAAATGGGGTGAGACTGGGGCAGTAACCTGGAAGCCTTCCTGGAGGAGGCAGGTGCTGGCTGGCATTGACGAGGTTCCCAGTGACAGTGAGAACAATGAGGCCTTTGTAAGGCAGGTGGGCTGGGTGTGCTGCCCTTCCTCTCTGCAGGCTGCAGATGACAGAGGCTGCCCTGGCTCTGTCGGAGCAGAAGGCCCAGGACCTGGAGGTGCTCCTGGCCACAGCGGAGCAGGAGCAGCTGAGCCTGTCACAGAGGCAGGCCAAGGAGCGCAGGCTGGAGCAGCAGGTGGGTGGCAGGGCGCGGGGGTGGGCTGGGAGGTGCGTGGCGGCCGAGGGGCCCTCACTGCGCACCCCCCGCCCCCACCCAGGAAGCTGCGGAGCGGGAGTCTAAGCTCCTCAGAGACTTGTCTGCCGCCAACGAGAAAAATCTGCTTCTGCAAAACCAGGTAGCTGTGGGTGGAGCCAGGGAGCCCAGGGTGGGCGCAGCAGGGCTGGGCCACAGCTTCCCTCCATGCTGCCGGCTTTCCAGGTAGACGAGTTGGAGCGGAAGGTCAAGTGTCAGCAGGAGCAGCTGTTCCAGACCAGGCAGGAGCTGACCAGCATGTCAGCCCAGCTGAAGATGCGGGCCATCCAGGCCGAGGGTGGGCACGGGCCGGCCTGCTGCGGAGGAGTCTGGGGGTGGGCACTCCAGGGACGGGGGCCTCCAGGGGATGCTCACAAATGCTCTGCCCCGCTGGACTTCCAGAGCGCCTAGACATGGAGAAGAGGAGGTGCAGACAGAGCCTGGAGGACTCGGAGAGCCTGCGCGTCAAGGAGGTGCCCTCCCACTTGGCCTCATGTGGCCTCTAACGCACTTCAGTGTCTGCCCTTGGTGTCATGCAGGTGCCCCAGAGCACACACCTGGTGGGAGCTCCCTTGTCACCCTGGGTCACGGGGCGGCTGTCTTGTGCCAGCCTGAGCAGACGTCAGACCCAGAACCTCTTACTGGGGCTGGGAGGGGACCCCATCCATGCCTCAGCCATAGGACAGGCTGGTGTTGAAGAGACGCCCAGCCCCGCCCGTTCAGGGTACACGTGCTAGGGCAGGTTCCTGCTAGGCCATCCGAGGCAGCACTTTCTCAGAATGAACAAGGTTCCCAAGAGACGCCTGCCTTCCAGAGTGGGGAGTCCGTGGGGGAAAGGGAGGGGGCCCTGCTCTTTATCCCGGCCCCACAACCCCTGCACCTGAACAGGTGGAGCACATGAGCCGCCACCTGGAAGAGAGCGAGAGGGCCATGCAGGAGCGGGTGCAGAGGCTGGAGGCCGTGCGGCTGTCCCTGGAGGAGGTGGGTGTCCACCAGGCGGGGCTGAGCTCTGCCTTAGCCCTGGGCTGAACAAGGGAGGCAGCCCCTGGTGTTCACAGCCTCAGGACCCCTGAGAGCCCTTTCTGGTCTCAGAGCCTCATAGGCCCCACCTTGAGACTGACCCACCAGTGTGCCCAAGAAGCTACAGGGACGTAGGTGGCATTCGAACTCCCTTGGCTGTAGGAAACCCGCCCAGTGGGCCAGGTGGCAGGGCAGCTGCATGGCCCTCAGGAGGCTGGCAGAGAAGAGCCCCTTCAGCTAGGGTTGGCTGGATGGGCCAGAGAGAGAAGGGCTGTGGGCCAGGGACAGGAGAACAGGCTGGCAGAACGCTGTCTGTGTGCAGGAGCTGAGCCGGGTGAAGGCAGCAGCACTCAGTGAGCGTGGCCAGGCCGAGGAGGAGCTGATCAAGGCCAAGAGCCAGGCCCGCCTGGAGGAGGTGAGCCCACAGATGCCCGCCACCCTCTGGGGAGCCAGGCTGCCTGGCTTTGCTAACCACATGCAGGCTCCAGAGCTGGGGCTTTGAGTGGGGAGGTGGGAGTGTGGTGTTGAGGTCAGGTCACACATGTGTCCCCCTGCACAGTGCTGGGAGGCTTCAACTTTGCATCCAGCCCTGTGATGGTGGTGGGGTTTGGCCCCTCCCTGCAGCCTGTGACTGCATGGGGGAACTGGAGGGGAGGCATGACTGGAGAGGGAGGAGGGGAGCCTAGCGGGCATCTGCAGGAGGTACCTGCCAGGAGCGGGTTCAGAGCAAGATGAGGTGTACTGTCTTGAGCAGCCAGTCTGGCGGAGGGGTGGGGTCGTGCCCATGCAAACCTCTCAGAAGGTGAGCTCAGGCTGACACCTTGTGCTCCGTGCCGGCTCCTGTGCCCGCAGCAACAGCGCCTGGCTCACCTGGAAGACAAGCTGCGGCTGCTAGCGCGGGCGCGGGATGAGGCGCAGGGCGCCTGCCTGCAGCAGAAGCAGGCCGTGGTCGAGGCCCAGACCCGGGCCAGCCAGCTGAGCCTGCAACTGGAGGGCCTGCGGCGGCGCCTGGAAGAGCTGCAGCAGGTAGCCGGGGCTCCGGCGCGGGGTGCGAGGGTGCTAGCCCCCGACCCCTCGCCTCACTCCCCAGCCTTCGTGCCTTCAGGACCTGAGCCACAAGGACCAGGAAAGGGTGGCCGAGGTGAGCAAGGTGCGCGTGGAGCTGCAGGAGCAGAACGGCCGGCTGCAGGCGGAGCTGGCGGCTCAGGAGGCGCTGCGGGAGAAGGCGGCGGCCCTGGAGCGCCAGCTCAAAGGTGAGCCAGGACCTCGCCCTCCCGGCGCCCGCTGACGGGCCGCGGGGTTACCCAGAGAGCAGGGCCGGCCAGGTCTCCTGGTGCCGGGCCCGGCCACGTGCCTGCTCACGGCGCTCCTCGCCCGGCAGTGATGGCGAGCGACCACCGGGAGGCGCTGCTGGACAGGGAGAGCGAGAACGCGTCTCTGCGGGAGAAGCTGAGGCTCCGGGAGGCGGAGATCGCGCGCATCCGGGACGAGGAGGCCCAGCGGGCGAGCTTCCTGCAGAACGCCGTCCTGGCTTACGTGCAGGGGTCCCCCGTGCGGACCCTGAGCCCCCCAAAGTGAGGCGGCCCGGGAGGACCCGCGCGCAGCGGCCGGGATGGACCGGGGGCCGCCCCCTGCCTTGGAGACCCGGGCCGTCGGGGCCGAGCGGGGTTGCGGCGACTGGAGGTGCCGTCGCGGCCTCGGGGCGACCCCGCGGGAGGCGCCTGGGAAGGGCTCCTCGCTGCCCCTTCGTCCCGGTCGGCGCCCCCGGGAAGGGGTCCCGCGGGTGCGTGTCCGCTCGCCCTTTGTGCCGCCGTCACCCTGAACGCTGCGGCCGCCTGCGCGCGGCGGGACCGGGAAATACAGCGCGTCTGCACTTCGTGATACGTCCGGGCCCCGCCTCTCCCTCCGAGCGCGCCGACCCTCTGCCCCCGGCCCTGCGGGGTGCGGCCGTCAGCCCCCCTCCCTGCTACCCGGAGGGACGGGAGAGCCGCGGGGTGCCGGTCTGCGGCTTCGGGCGGCTGCGGAACCCGGAGTTCCCGGCCGGCTCCCGGCGGCAGCGGGGCAGGTCCCCGAGAACGCGCGGGCGCGCCCCTCCGGGTCCAGGTCGCCGGGCTCCCCGCTCCCGCGCGGCGCCCCGAGGAACTGGAGCCCCCGGGCCCGGGGCGCGCGAGACAGGGGGCGCCGCGGCTCCCGCCGCTCGGCCCGCGTTCGGCCGGCCCCGCCCCCCAGCCGCGCGGCCCGGCGCCCTCCGCCCGCGCGCCCCCGCCCCCCGCCGGCCGCGCTCGGCTGTCTCCGCGCCCGGCGTTCGGCGGCGCTCGGCTGTCTCCGGCCGCTCGTCGGCGCTCGGGTCCGCGGCCGCTGCGGCGCCGGGCATTTCTCCGCAGCTCGGCTCGCGGCCGCGCCCGCCGCCCCCGGCCCGCGCCCATGCAGGCCATCAAGTGCGTGGTGGTCGGCGACGGGTGAGTGCGCGGCCGGGGGCCGCTCGGCGGGGCGGGTCGGGGGCGGCTCCGGGGCTCGGGGCGCAGCCCGGGCGGGGCGGGGATGGCGCCCGGGTCCTCGAGAGGCGGCCCCGCCGGAGCGCGCCCGAGCGGCGGGCACCCCGGGGCGGAGGAGGGCGGGGTGCGGCGGGGCGGGGTCCGCGGGCCTCCGGCTCGGGCCCACCTGATGCTGCCCGGCTCCCGCCCGGGCCGGCTGCCAGCGAGGCGGGGCCGCCGCCCTGGGCTCCCGGTGGGTGGGGCCCGGCCTCTCACCTGGGCTGAACCCTGTGCCGGCCCCACCCGCCCGCGCCGCCACTCCTCGGAGTCGGGGCCTCCGCCGCTCTGCCTGGGGGTCCAGTGTTGGGGCGCCCCCATTCACCACCCCAGTCCCCGGAGCCCGGCCTGCCCCGGTCGTCCTCCAGCCCTAGGTCGCCGCGGATGTGGTGGGCTGGGAACCCCGTCTTTCCCTCAGACGCCCCTAACTCGCCTCTGGCTCCGGGGGAGGGGGGCTGCCCTTGCTGGGGAGTGGGTCCCAGGCCGGGCCCGGGAGCCACGTGGCTTGCCCTGTCTGCAGCGCCGTGGGGAAGACATGCTTGCTGATCAGCTACACGACCAACGCCTTCCCCGGAGAGTACATCCCCACCGTGTGAGTGTGGGGGGCTTCCTGGGAGAGCACGTAACCTTCCGTGTGAGTGTGAGGGGCTTCCCTGGAGAACACATCCCCACCGTGTGAGTTGGGGGGCTTCCCCGGAGAGCACATCCCCACCGTGTGAGTTGGGGGGCTTCCCCGGAGAGCACATCCCCACCGTGTGAGTTGGGGGGCTTCCCTGGAGAGCACATCCCGACCGTGTGAGTGGGGGGAGGCTTCCCCGGAGATCACATCCCCACCGTGTGAGTGGGGGGAGGCTTCCTGGGAGAGCACATCCCCACCGTGTGAGTTGGGGGGCTTCCTGGGAGAGCACGTAACCTTCCATGTGAGTGTGGGGCGCTTCCCTGGAGAACACATCCCCACCGTGTGAGTGTGGGGGGCTTCCCCGGAGAGTACATCCCCACCGTGTGAGTTGGGGGGCTTCCTGGGAGAGCACGTAACCTTCCATGTGAGTGTGGGGGGCTTCCCTGGAGAGCACATGCCCTCCGTGTGGGTAGGGCATGGGGGGGTCACGGGCCGGGGCTTCCAGGTCCGGTTCAGGTGGCCCTGCCTCTGAGCTTCCTGACTGGGGCTGAGGTGCCAGACAGAATTACAGGCAGACTTGTGAACCCCAAGACACAGGCCGCGGGGCTGGGGGTCTCTGGGACCCCTCCCAAGCCTTTACCCTGCCCTTACTGCTCTGCAGTTTTGACAACTACTCTGCCAACGTGATGGTGGACGGGAAGCCGGTCAACCTGGGGCTGTGGGACACGGCCGGGCAGGAGGACTACGACCGGCTTCGGCCGCTCTCCTACCCCCAAACTGTAGGTGACACAGGCCAGCCCCGGGAGCTGGGTGGGTCCCTGAGGTCCGGACGGGGGAGGGAGCAGGGCCGCAGGGACCCCCTGACCTCTCCACCGGCCCCCACCTTTTTCCCAAGGATGTGTTTCTGATCTGCTTCTCCCTGGTGAGCCCGGCCTCCTTCGAAAACGTTCGTGCCAAGGTAGGGCAAGGCCAGGGGCCCTGGTGGGGAGAGGGCTTGCCCCAGAACCTGCCCAGACAGGTGTCCTTTAGAGGCAATTGAGATATGGTTCTTCCTGGGGTAGGCACATGGGGTGGGGTCTGAAGATGACTGTGGGCTGAGGGGGCGGCATAGTGGTGGTGGATACAGCTCTCGGAACAGTCTGAGAGCTGGGGCTGGGCCTTGACTGGGAGGTCCTGAGGGTCTCCGGCTTCCCTGGCTGTTTGTTTTCGGCATCTCCCCACCAAACCCAGCAGACCCCTGGTCACCCCTTGAAGGAAGAGGAGCCAAGTGTCGCTCTGGGGCAGGGGGGAAAGGGCCTGAGAGCCATGGCCTGCTCAGGCGGGGCTAGGGTAGCAGACCCCAAGCGTAAGGGTCAGAGTGGTCTGTCCCTGCAGTGGTACCCAGAGGTGCGGCACCACTGCCCCCACACGCCCATCCTCCTGGTGGGCACCAAGCTGGACCTCCGTGATGACAAGGACACCATTGAGCGGCTGCGGGACAAGAAGCTGGCCCCCATCACGTACCCACAGGGCCTGGCCATGGCCCGGGAGATCGGTGGGTAGGCGCTGGCCGCCTGCAGGGGAGGGGCAGGGAGGCTCGAGGAGGGCCCCCCTATACCCCACCCTGTCTTCCCCCCTCACCACTGTCAGGCTCCGTCAAGTACCTGGAGTGCTCGGCCCTGACCCAGCGGGGCCTGAAGACGGTGTTTGACGAGGCGATCCGGGCAGTGCTGTGCCCGCCCCCCGTGAAAAAGCCAGGGAAGAAGTGCACTGTCTTCTAGAGCCTGAGGGCTGGCGGGGAAGCAGCCGTAGACGTGTCCGCTGTTGTGTTGAGACGTGTGGTGTCCCTGAGTTGGCGGTGGGGAGCCGTGGGGGTGGGCAGCGGGAAGCATGGGGACGAGGCTGGGTGGCAGGGTCCTGTTCTCTCTGCCGCCTCTTTCTGGGGTGTGGCTCCAACCTTCCCTGGCCCCCACCAGAGGCCGGCAGGGAGCATGGTCTCCCTCAGGGCTGAAAGGGCAGGTGCAGGGAGGGTGGGGGGGAGTTCTGTCCATTGCGCCCCTCGGCGGGGCGGCCCCTTCTTATTTTATACAATAAACATTCTCTACCTACACCTCCTGCCTCTCACTACCTGCCCTTCTGCCCTAGGCGGGGTTTGCTCCTGACTGCCCCGCAGTGACCACGCAGAGCCTGTCGGTCACACCCCAGCTGCACCTCGGAGTCGATTCCTGATGGGGGCAAGAGGGGCTTGCTGAGCTCCTCAGCCCCCAAAGGAGCCGACCCAGATCAAAGCCATAGCAAGTGCGTTGAGCCCTTGGGATGATGGCATGCCTGTGTGCGAGGCTCCCTCGTGCCGATTTGCAGCCTCTGAGAGGGCACATTTCCGGGAGAGGCGGCCAGGTTCTCAGGCAGCTCCGTTGTGCTGACCAGGACAGTCTGAAAAGAGGCTAAAGCAGGTCAGGCCTCTCAGAGCCTCATGGGAGCTGAGACAGCCTCCCCCCATCCCTCAGCTCCTCTGGCTGGCACTGGGAGGAAGGGCATCCAGGCGGAGGCACAGGGTGGACAAAGGCATGGGGTCAGTGTGTGGCATGGAGTGTGAAGAGAGCAGTGACCCAGCACAGTCTGCTGATGCTGAAGCCAGAAACGGTGGGCCCCAAGCCACGTTTCGGACCTTGGAGTCACTCAGGATCAGAGGGTGCCCTGAGGGCCAGAGTCAGCTTCACCTGGTGCTGGGTGGGGACCCCTCCTTCTGGCTCAGTTAAGCCAACTGCTGAATTCTCAAGAATTATGCTAGCCAGTTGTTAACCATCATTAACAATTATAGAAGTTTGCAATTTGTTTTATTAAAAGCAAAATCAACAAACATCACTTCCTAGTTATTTCTGCACACTTTCCTGTTTTCTCTGCCCCTGGGTTATGTATATCTGTGGTACCTATGGACACACACCACGTAACAGGGTGCTGAGGGCATCTCTTCCACCTCCACGTTCAATGATATCTGACTGGTAGCTTGAAATCAGCTGTGGTGGGAGTTATTTACACCATGGGAATGGGCAAACTCCTTACATTGGAGCTTGATTTATGGTTAAGTGTCTAGACTTAAGATGATGGAGAAAATGCAGATTAGACTTCAGGATGCTGTATCTGTCTTCATTACATAGTGAACAGCACCGCAAGTTGAGGAAATGCTCGTCTAGTGTTCGAAAACCATTATCTGAGTCAACAAACTGGCTCAGGTCACTGACAAAGTGGAGAAGCTTGAAGTCTTCCTTGCCCTGTTGTCTTACTCATTAGCCTGAAGGAAGAGTAGCCAACCACACACTCACAGAGCCATTGACAAAAACTTACATGCACACACTGTCTCACCCCAGGGTTCTGGGCAGGTTCAAAGGCCATCCGTGCTGAAATTCACTGCCTGCCTTAGGAGCCAGCCTTTCACCACCCCCCCCCACTCCCAGCCCCACACGGCCAGCTGGCCGTCTAAGAGCTGTATCCACCACCACTATGCCACCCCGTCAGCCCCCACAGCCATCTTCTGGTTGGAATGTGGCGCTCATGGGTCTCTGCCAGCATTACCACACCCTGCCCTGAGCCTCAGCTACCTGCTGGCAGCCTAGGAATAGCACATAGCCTGGGCAGAGGAATCAGGTTTATTGGAGGATTGGGGGTAGGATGGGCATGGCTTGGGGCTGAGGTGTGTGTGGAGGGGGTCAGGATGCCCAAAAGCCCCCATCCACCGGCACAATGGAGCCAGTGGTCATACCGCTTCGGTCACTCAGCAGAAAGAGGATGGCATCCACCACGTGCTCTACCTCTGTGGGCAGGGCAGGGGTGGGGGCAGAGATAAAGGAGGCTGCCACTCATCTTTCCCTCCCACCCCTGCCCAGGGCAGGCACAGGGGCTGCTGGTGCCACGCTGGCTGGGCTCCCACCCGACTCACCAGCAAACTTGCCAAGTGGGATTCGGTCGAGCATAGGCTTGGCCTTTTGGGGGTCGAGCCAGTTGGCCCGGCCCATGGCTGTCATCACCACTGTGGGGTTTACTGCATTCACTCGGATCTGCACCAGGACAGCTGAGGTCAGCAGGGTGAGTGGGGTGCCCTAGGTTGGGGGAGGCACCCCAGTGCTGCTCACCTTGTGGGGCCCAAGCTCTAGGGCCATCGCCTTGGTCAGCATGTCCAGGGCACCCTTGGTGGCGCCTGTGAAGGAAGGGGAAGCCAAGCTGGCTGGGGCTGGGGCTGGAGCTGGTGACGAGGGTGAGGCTGGGGCTGGGGCGGGACCAAGGGCACAGCTGGGGCACTCACAGTAGACGCTGTGGTTAGTTATTGCCCTCTGGGAGGCCTGGCTGGAGATATTCACAATGGCCCCCGGGACTCCCCGGGCTATTAAGCCCCTGGCCACGATCTGGAATTGCAGTGAGAGGGTGAGGCAGAGCTGGCAGCACTCACCAGAGTTCCCATCCAGCCTGGAGGGCAGCTCACCTTTGACACCTGGATGACTGCTCGCAGGTTCACCTCAAAGGATCTAGAGGCCAAGGGACAGAGCCTGGTCAGAGGCTGGCGCTGCTGCCTGCGGGACTGCCCGTCTCTAGGGTTCCTCCACTCCCACAGGCTCACCTGTCAAAGGCCTCCTTCGTGATCTCCAGGAAGGGCTGCAGCAGGGCCACACCTGCGTTGTTCACCAGCAGGTCCACGGGACCCACGTTGCCCAGGGCCCGCTCGGTGGCCTCCCAGTCGCTCAGGTCCACACAGACAGGATCTATCCCAGGGCACTGTGTGTATCAGCAGGCAAGTTACCAGAGACTCTGTGCCCAGCAAGCCGCACAGCCGGGGGCTGGGGCTGGTGCCCTTTCCGCCAACAAGGAAAGGAGTTAGGAGTTCCGGGGTGGTCAGGACTCTGGGCCAGCAGCCAGGCGCTGCCTTCAGCTGGGTCACTTCCTCCCTGAGCCCGAGCGCCTCCTGCCCCGGGCCTGCTCTGTAGCCATTTCGGCCTCTTTCCGAGCCCGAGGGCCCTGGCGGCTCTGCCGGCCACGGGGCCGTCCACGCAGACCACGAGCCCTGGGCGTGGGTGCGAGGGCGCCCAGGCCGCGGTGAGAAGCCCAGCGCCTGCGAGGGGAGGCCGAGCCGCGCGCAGGGGTTTCCGACCCCGCCCGCCGGCGCCGCTCCCCGCCCGCCGCCTCGCCGCGCTGGGACACGGCGGCGCGTACCTCGCGAAGAAGGCTGTCCAGGTCGGCCTGGGTCCTGCTCACAGCCACCACCCGCGCGCCCGCCGCGTGCAGCGCCTGGACCGTGCCGCGCCCGATGCCTGCCGGGGTACAGCTCAGTGAGGGCGCCCCCCGCCCGCCGTGGCCCGCCGCCCCCACTCTGCCCGCCGCCCACCTTTGCCCGCCCCGGTGACCAGCGCCCGGCGACCCGCCAGCCCCAGCTCCATGTCCGCGCCGTCTCCGCCCTCCGTGCTGGGGTCGCGGGACTTGAAGCTCTGGCCATGGAGGGCGGGGCGCGGCGGGGCCAATGGCAGGGCGGCCTCCGGAGACGGGGCGGGGACATGCAAATAGCTGCTCCCCGCTGCCGTGATTCGCCGAAAGGAGGGGGCGCGCCGGGCGGGGCGGGGTCTGCGCTGTCCCTGGGGCGGGACTTTCGAGCTGCCTGGTGTGACCCATCCACCGTGCTCGAAATCGGTTTAGTGGACCCTGGCTAGCTATTTTTCCTGCCAAGATGATTACAAAAAGCCGCTGGCGGTTAATATCGGAAAGAACGTGTGACTAAATTCTGGAAGCACACGTGAAATGAAGAACTCAGGGCCAACATCTCTTGTTTTGTTTCTGAAAACTTTGTCATGTCCTAGAACGTGTCACCTGTGCCCATCATCCCCCAGGCTTGGGAGCAGGACACAGAGGCTCACTGGTAATGGCAAGGGAAAGAAGTTGGACAACCCAGTGTGTCTGGAGAAGACACCAATGTCAGCAGATCTCCGCTTTCATCTGAAAGGGACTTGAACCACAGGTCACCTTGGACAGCCAGCATGTGGCCACGGGCTCCTTTCAGAAGTTGAGTGTCTGGAGAAGACACCAATGTCAGCAGATCTCCGCTTTCATCTGAAAGGGACTTGAACCACAGGTCACCTTGGACAGCCAGCATGTGGCCACGGGCTCCTTTCAGAAGTTGAATAGGGGCTGGGGGCGGTGTAATCCCAGGACTTTGGGAGGTCAAGGCGGATGGATCATCACGAGGTCAAGAGATCAAGACCATCCTGGCCAACATGGTGAAACCTCATCTCTCCTAAAATAAAAAAATTAGCTGGGCATGGTGGCACGCGCCTGTAGTCCCAGCTGCTCGGGAGGCTGAGGCAGGAGAATTGCTCGAACCCTGGAGGTGGAGGTTGCAGTGAGCCAAGATTGCGCCACTGCACTCCAGCCTGGTGCCTGGCGACAGAACAAGACTCTGTCTCAAAAAAAAAAAAAGAAAAAAGAAAAAAAGTTAAATAGGATAGGAAGAGATAGGATTCGGGTCACAGAAGTACATGGTGGCCCAGCAAAGACCAGCATTGCTTCCCAAGGCTTTGGGATCAGTTACAGCTGTGTGTGTACCCGCTCATACCCGGCCTCCATGTAAAACCTACTTTGTTCCGTGTTTCATCGTAGGAAAGTCTAGAACCACTGTCCTGAGGACCTTCTGTGGCCAGGGGTATGGAATTGGTGACTGTAGCTGTGGATCCAAGCCCCAGACTTTGGATCATCTAGAGCAGGCGTCCTCAAGCTTTTTACACAGGGGGCCAGTTCACTGTCCCTCAGACCATTGGAGGGCCGCCACATACTGTGCTCCTCTCACTGACCACCAGTGAAAGAGGTGCCCCTTCCTGAAGTGCGGCGGGGGGCCAGATAAATGGCCTCAAGGGGCCACATGCGGCCCACGGGCCGTAGTTTGGGGACGCCTGATCTAGAGCTTGGGGCCCAGAGGCATGGAAAGGCTAGAGTCAAGGGTGGCTAGGTACAGCAGGAGGCAAGGTCCTGGTTTGTTCTGGGGGCAGCCAAGGACATTGTCCCTATCAGACCTGGCCCTGCAGTCAGTCCACCACCTCTGGCTACCCTGTCAACTCTGCTTTCTGCCCCTACCCTTGGAACCCACTCTCTCCTTGCCAGCAGCAAGGGAGGAACAGCCCTCAACCTGTCCTTCCCAGAAGGCCCATCTGCTTAGACCCCCTCCAGTGGCCTGCACTGTGTCCCCAGGAGAGTGGACCAGGCCTCACTGGTCCTGTGATCTGTGGCTCAAGCCTTGCTCCCTGTGGGTCCTGCTGGCTGTTCAGAAGCACCCTCAGCATCTCCCACCCCCACCCTGTGCCCTGTGCCCTTCTACCCACTGCTTGGTGGGTGGGATCCTGACCCTAGTCCTCTGCCCCCTCGCCCATGGTTGGATCTTATGCCCTTTCCACCTCAGTCCTATAGCTCCCCAGATGTAGGGCTGTACAGCCCCACAGGGTCATGGGGTGTCCCTTGCTGTGCTGAAGTGCAGGATCCCAGAAGTAAAGAGACAGGACATTGAAGAACCGGTAAAGAGCATCTGGACTCAGGGGCCACGCCACCTGTGAGCGGAGATCAGTGAGAGCCCCAAAGGCCCAGAAGCATCTGTGTTTATTAGGTACAGCAGGAGGCAGGGTCGTGAGTGAGGTCATCCTCTATAGGCTTCGTGATAGGGCATACATAATCATGTGAGTCACAAGTGAGGGGGCCACCCCATTAAGTCACCTGGGCAGAGAGGTGGGCTGTGCACAGTAGGAGGCCATGCCGTGCGCAGTAATAGAGGGTTGTGTACAGAAAAGGGGTCCACCCCCATTAGGTCATCAAGGCAAGGAGGTGGGCTGTGTGCAACAGGTGTCGCGCACAACACTTCTTATCTGGGAGCTGGAGACTTCAAAGGATTTCTAATAGAAGGATACTGTAAGCCAATGCAGTGGGAGCTGAAGACTTGTGCTCTTCTCTTAAGATATTTATGGGGGCTGGGCGTGGTGACTTTCACTTGTAATCCAAGCACTTTGGAGGCCAAGGCGGGCAGATCACCTGAGGTCGGGAGTTCAAGACCAGCCTGACCAACATGGTGAAACCCCATCTTTATATAAAAGTACATATGGGAGGATGACTTGAGCTAGCACAGAAGTGAGAAAAGACTGACAGGGTGTACAGCCACCGTGACTGGTCACACCAGAGGGTTCTTCTCCCGCGGTTACTTCCAGGATCTCAGGCCTGAGGCCGACTTTCCACAGGAACTGGATGCAAGGTTCTACAACTCCTTTATCAGGAGGCGAGGCTCCTGCTCCAAGCCTGCCGTACAGCGTGTGCCCTTTCAGGCAGGGCTGCCGCCGCCTGGGTCTTGGGTTCTTGTCCTGGTCCGGCTGTTTTCCCATGTACTGCTTCTGTCTGTGACTGCTCTAGGCATTCCTCCTACTACAGACGACTATATGGTTATATGGGAGGATTCTATAAATCAGCACTGAATGTGTCAGTACAGCTCTGACTACAATACCTAGATGATTATATAGAAAGATTATATGGGACTAAGTGTGAGTATATATATATAAGCTAGATATAGTAAGCAGTGAGTTATGCTTCAGGCCCTAACTGCACCTGGGGTCCATACAACTCTCCTTCCTCTGTGCCCCTGGGGGGTGTTACCCACACCCAGATGGCATGGCAAAAGCCGGGCCTGGCCTAGGCAAGCACAGCTGAAAACTCCAGGGCCTGCAGGACCCTCTGGCCAGGCCTGGACTGCAGGGCTGTTGAGCCTGGATTCAGTCCAGGGGCTCTCTTTGAGCAGAACTGGGAGCTTGGCCCTTGGCTTGGGCAGTCTCTTACCGGTGGCCTTGGGTGAGAGGTGCACCCAGAGGTGAAGGTGGATTCTCTGGGGAATTTGCTGCAATATGACCCCACCCCTGTTACTCCAGGGGAACTCTCCGCCCTCCCTTCCATTCGGAGGGCCTTGGGTCCAAGGTGTGCTCTTCATCTTTCCGGAAGGGTGGAGGTCCCAGCCAGGGAGCTGGGCTGGAGGACAGGGCCAGAATCTCCGGGGAGAGGTGTGCAGGCTGCCTTCTATCCACTGCCCACGACTGGCTGGGGGTGGAGAGCAGGGCCATGGACAGCAGGACTCTCCCTACAGAAGAGTCACTGCCCTTTGGTCCTCGGGTGGAGTCGGGGGTGGAGTGGGCTGACTTCCGGGTCTGCGCGCTCAATCGCCTCACGTGGGGTGAAAGGTATGCCCACGGTCCCCGTTTCTCTTCTCCCCAGCCTCATGGCGGCCAGCCCAGAATCCTGGTCTGCGCTGATCCGGGGAGAAGGGCTTCCATTTATTAAAGCCCATCCATGCCAGTTCAGGGGTATACAGTGGGTGGGGGAGGCAGAGGCGGCGTCTCACCGTAGCCTGGATGAGAACGCGGAGGAGCGCGGTGGGGCGGTGGGTCTGACACGGGCCTGGGCGAGTGGGGCAGGTGTAGAGGCGGGGCCGGTGCTGGAATGGGCGGGGCGTGGGGGGCGTGGCGGAGAGGAAAAAGGGGCGTGGCGGGAGCAGGCCTCGGGGCGGGGCAGAGTCCGAGGTGATCGGGGCGTGGCGGAGAGGGAAAAGGGGCGTGGCGGGAGCAGGCCTCGGGGCGGGGCAGAGTCCGAGGTGATTGGGGCGTGGCAGAGAGGAAAAAGGGGCGTGGCGGGAGCAGGCCTCGGGGCGGGGCAGAGTCCGAGGTGATTAGGGGCGCGGCGGGCGCGCTGCGAGAGAGTTCTGAGCGGGGTGGTGGGAGGAGGGCCTGGCACTGGCCGGGTGCGGGGCCGAGGGCCGGACAGGAGCCTGGGCGCAGGCGGGGCGTGTTAGTGGGCGTGAGAGTGTGGCTTGTGGGCGTGCGCAGGGCCTGGCGTGGGGCGAGTCAGGAGTAGGTGGGGCCGGGGTGGGACCTGGGATGATCAAAGGCGAAGGCGGGGCAGGGCGGGGCCTGAGCGGGGGCGGGGCCATTATGGAGCACGTGAGCGAGCGCGGTCGGGGGGCGGGGTCAGGAGAGGCGGGGCGGGGCTGAGGCGGGAGCTAGAGCCGCAGCGGGGTCGGGGCGGGGTCGTGAACGCGGCGGGGGCGGGACCGGGACCTGGGCGGGGCGGCCTTTCGCGTGGGGCGGGGCCGCGGCGGGGTTCGCGGCTCGAGATGACTGGGTAGCCGGCGTCCAGAGGGTGTCCGAGTCGCTGGGGAGGCGCTGCCGTCCCCGAGCAAGACAAAGATGCCGGGGACCACCTCCTCCACCTCTGCGGGGGCGGCGGCCGGTCAGGGAAGCTGGGCTGAGCTCCCCGGGTCGCCCCGCTGACCCGCTGACGCCCCGACCTGCAGTCTTCCTCAGTGGGTGGCGGTCCCTCACCTCCCAGCAGAGCTGGGATCGGACAAGACTTTCTGGCCCCTGGCTGTCAGCACCACCACGGAGCTTACAGAGTTCACCCGGATCTGCAGCCG